ATATTCGACTTCGAACATTAACGATAACGCGAAATTCAGCCCCGCCACCGCATTTTTCATTAGTGACGGAATATTATCTAAATATTTTAACTAAAGTAAACCACACTTAATTACTCAAGAAGAACTGCATCACTCTGCACCTGAGAAGCCCTTCGGGGGGGGGGAGGCAAGGGAGTGATGCAGGGATTCAAGAGTTGCGCCCGCTCCTCAGCATCCCTTCGCTCTTCGAGCATCAGCCCGTTTTTGACGTATATATGTACATAACTTCTAAATCTGTAAATATTTTATTATTCTCAACGTGTTTATATTATCATTATTGTATTATAATCGTGTATTTTTCGTTATTTAACCCAAACTGCGTTTATTTTAACGCCTTTTTTCTCGTTATATTACATTGTTATTATTTATCATATGTACCATGCTTAAGTAAATATCTAACCGCCTAATTGTAATACACGTAATACGCCTAATTGTAATTGTAATACGCCTAATTGTAATTGTTAAGTAAATATCTAACCGCCTAATTGTAATAAACATAAGGGAAGAGCCCTTATGTTTATTACAATTTCGATGAAAGGGTAGATAGTCCTTCGGGCTAGGAACTCTGAAAATCCAAGCTTAAATCGGTAAATCGCTACGGATCATGGTTTAGACTCCCCTTGCCGTCAGGCTAACCGTGGGAGGTTTTAGTAGTTTCCCCCTCCATGTAACGCAAATGTGCATTAGTTCCATCAAAAAGTCCTACACGAAAGCAAAATTTCTCCCTATATTTGATCCAGGAGTTACCTTGTCTTCTGGATTGGGTTCAAAATTACAAAGCTACGGAGTTGAATATTAGTAGTCGTAAACCCAAATTATTGAGTCGGTTGTTCAACGACGGCTATAAAATAAAATTAAAAAATAAGTAGGAATTATAATGTTAATTATAGCTTATTGTCAATTCTAGTAATACTTATGCTAAATGCACTAAAGATACTAACTACCTTTTTAAAATACCTTTTGACTAAAAAAATAGCATTATAATTACTTTTTTAATTGAATTTTAGGACATCAGATTATCTTAAATAGTAAGTTTAAGAAAGGAACTATTCGTGTTACGATTGCTACTTGAACATTAAATATGAAATGAGTTATTCTACAAACTCTTTAAGATTTTGCATTGTTACATTATGAAATATAATTTTTTTTGTTTGTTTGCATTAAGAATTTGTTTATATATTTCTTTTAACTTGAAGATACATATAGCGTAATTAGATATTAGAAACTTAAAAAAAATTTTAAGGCTAAAAAATAGTTTATAACTTTTGAAATTGAACATCATTGCATTTTGTACTGTAATATATGCTTCAATAAAGTCGCGCGTTAAAAAACAAAATAATATGAAATAAAAAAAATATTTTGAATGATTCAGTTCCTCAACCATTATTTAAATTTTGTTCAAATAACATTAATTCAGTTGTTCTACTGATATTAAAAAAACTAAAAAAAATTAGACCTGAAAATAAATTTCCTCAAAGAGATGATAATATATTTTTACTTTTAATTTCTCTTAAAAGCTTTTATGAAGCTTGATAAGTTAAATTGCGATTTCTGCAAACTACATTTGGTGCTTTCTTACATAATTTACACTGTTTAAATTTTTTTCAGTAAGAAATTGGTTCGATGTACTAACTATAGAACATCTAACACTTGAGGAATTCAAGTTAAAAATACTCAAATTATAATACGCGTGAAAACTTATTTCTTTTTGGTGGCTCCATCTTTGGATGAGTCTTTTATTCAAAATGATTCCTAGGTCTTCCCTACAAGTTATGAATTTAATATTCATAAAAACGAGTGGGGTTCAGTTTGAAACTTTCTTATTGCACAATTTTTGCTTTCACATATATTTAATACATTTTTTATGATAAAATACCTGTGTGATTTCCCCTCTGTTACGCTTGGAATTCTACGACTGGTTTCAGTTGGCATGGTATTCAACAATAGTTAAGCTATTAAAACTTGATAATTCGTATAATTACAGTCACTCGAAAAACAAAATAAATACAGTTACAGCTACACCATTTATATAAATATTTTTTAAGAAAAAGTACTGATATTTAAAAAAAATATATGCATTTTTTTGAAAGATCTTAGCTGCTGAATTCCTTCCAGTGATGGGTTCTAAGCAGGGTTTGAAAAAACCCGGGGAATTTTGGAAAAACCCAGCCCGCCTGGGTTTTATTGAAAAAACCCGGGGAAAATTGGGTTTTATTTGAAAAAACCCGGGGAAAATTGGGTTTTTTCATTTAGTGCTCCTAAATTTTACTGTGAAAATATTTTTATTTATTAAATACTGTTGTATAAGTAAACACTAAAATTTCATTTGACTTTAATCTGTAATAAAATTAAACTGGAATAAATATTTAATGGTCTTCCATGTCTTTATAATACGATTAATAGAACGTGAAGTTAAAATTACGTATAATTATAAAGAGTATCACTTACGTGTCCCTTTTTTCAAATATTTAGATAAATATATGCATTTTTAGATACATTTTAAGTTTATAGTTTCAAAAAAACAAATTAATCTTAAAATTATAAAAAAGCATATATAAAAAGTTATAGCTTATTTTTTCAAAATCAGAAAATAAAACTTTGAATTTGTTTATTGTTGTTTAATGTATCACTTAATAGAATTTTTTTTTGTTTGCTTTCAATATTTTTAAGCATGATTAAGCATGATTAAGCATGACAAAATAAATTGTATTCAAATGAAATCTTAAAAATAATATTTAAAAAATCTTAAAATATTTTAATTTTTAACTGTTTTTTAATGGTGATGAACTTTCTTCAAATAGTTAAAAATTGTCAGATGTTAAGAGTTAACTTAAATAAAAGGTCCATTTTTTTCCTTTATTATTATTATCATACAACAGATTCAAAGTGTCTACATTTCTCTCTTAGATAGTGATACACTTTTACGAGTTTTGCAGCTTTATCTATTCCTAATCTATTTCGAAGTTTACTCTGCACCAAACCGAAAGTTGAAAAGTGTCTTTCGATAGAGACAGAGGATGCTGGTGCTGAGGGCAGAGAAAAAGGAATTGACAGAAATTTTGTGGAAGCTAGGAATTTTATTTACTTTTTTTTTGCCGTAATTTTCCACTATTTTTTGATGAAAACTGCTTCAGAAACAATTGATATCTGTTTTTCCCAATTGATAGTTTATTGGTAAAGCCCAATATTATTTAATATTTTTGACATATTATTATTAGATTTATTTTGATGTTCAAGAACAATCTCTTCATATTTATGGTAAATATTGGCAAAAGTTTTTACGCTCTCACAATATGAATTCCACCTAGTATCATTGGGTCATCCCGCTGTTTTTTTCATTTGCCCATCCATGTGCTTGATGAACATTTCTAAAATATTTGTTAACTTCAACAATGTGTCCAATGATAGTATTAGAAGATACTTCTTTTTGAACCAAATTAAAAAAAAAAATTGTGAAAAAAAAACACCAAGTGGGTTTTTTCAAAGTGGGCCCACTTGGGGAACCCTGGTTATATGTGTTTTATAATAAGTTTAAATAACGCATTATCACTAATACATATTTGAATCTTCTTTATTGTTAAGCACATTACGTTTCATAATTTTTTAACTCTAGAATTATAAAATATAAATGCAGTAATATAAAAGGAACAATTTTATTCATCTTTTTGTTTTCACACACATTTATTTACTACTATATTTATTAACCATATGGATATTACCTATTATAAAATTATAATCTGCAAATATTTATAATCTGTAAATATTTATAATCAGTAAAAACTAAAATTTCATCTGACTTGAGTTAAATAAAAAACTGAAATAAATATTTAATGGTCTTACATGTTTATATAATAAGCTAACAGAAAGTGAAATTAAAACTACATATAATTATAAAGAGTATCAGTTACTTGTCCATTTGTTTTCAAATAATTAACCTCAGGAAAATGATTTCATTTTTAGATAAATAATTTAAAAAAATTCTCTTATAAAAAGTTTTAGCTTTTTTTATAGCTAGAAAATAAAACTGTTTAAATTTGTTAATGTATCACTTGGTAAAAAAAGAAATAAATTGTTTCTTTTCAATTTTTTTAAACATATGAATTAATATAATAACCCTCTTATTAATATATAAAGCATGCAACTATATTTGAAAAATTGATCTTTTCAGACTATATTATTTAAATTTTTATTTGATTTAATATCATTAAAATATTACTTTTTGAAAAAACCCACTTGAAGTGTTCGATAGTACCTACTATAAAATTATATGAAGATTCGAGTTTCTTTTACTTTACTAATATTAAAAACTTAATCATATAAATCATGCAACTCTATTTGACAAATTTATGCTGCACAATAAATTATATAAAAGTAAACGCGAAACAATAAGTTTCAGAAATTTTTTTTTTTGTTTTTTGAAAAAACCCACTTATCGTTCCAAGTGGGATTTTTCAAGGTGGGCCCACCCAATAAAACCCGGGCGGGTTTTTTCAAAGTTTGCCCACTTGGCGAACCCTGGTTCTAAGACAACTGCTTGATCTCCTTGCCTTCAAGCTGGCTTTAATTGCATGTTTCAGTCGTGTTTTTATTTGTGTCAGTGAAACATTAAATCAATTTGGTAATTGTTTTCGATAATTTTAAATAAAAATTTAAAGTGCACTCGTAGTTTATTTTAATTGCTTTATCACGTTTAAATAAATGAATAACATCGTTAGCATGATTAAGAAATTATTACAATTCAATTCTGCTGAATAAATGTGAGCATTTTAAGATTCATAGCATTTTTCAACATTGGTTGTTGGCGAAAAGGCAGATTACGCCATTTTTAAAATTCCAGTATGTAATCACTTCTAAAGCAAACAGAGATTAACAAGTTATTAGAATTTTCGAACAAAATTTACAAAGCTGTAAGTTTCAGCATTTTATGTTTTTATGATCGTCTGAAATTCGTCTATAAAAGTTTGGACTGCAAGTTTCAAAGGATTTGATATCTGGAACATTTTCATCGAAGGGACTTAAAATAATAGGAACTAATTTAGATACTAAAATATGCGAAGATTAATATTTTTGTTTGGTGTGTTGTTGACAGCGAATGCTCAAGGTAAATTATTTACATTCATGATTAATATTATAAGTGAAATAAATAAAATAAATTTTATTTTTGATTTCATAAATATGTTATTATTACTGAACTTGACGATAAATAATGTCAATTGTTGTTAAAAAGAATTTTGATGTCAAATTTTGTAACTTAAATACTATTTTTTTAAAGAAATGATTACAATTTTAAGGGGTCACAGTACCTTTGCAACAATGTTTTTAAATAAAGGTAAAATCGTTCATTTTGTGGATGCTTTACATGCTCATTTAACTTATAATCAATATTTTATCTTCAAAAAATAATTAAACTGTATAATTTTTTTAAAATTTTAAAAAAAATTGAAAAAATTAAAATTTTTTAAATACCTTAGGCTTTTTTATTTTTACATATTTTCAAAATTTTTTTTCTTAGTGCTTTCAATATTCATCTTAACGATTTCGTACATTCATTTGTTGATGTATCAATTAAAATATTTTTAATAGATTATTTTGTAAAAGAGTAGAAAAAAAAGGTTAAAAATTTCTGTTAGGTATATATAACATGATGTAAAAATTGTAATACCTCATAAAATGCTTATTCCATACACAGTTTAAATAAGTGTATTATATCTAAGACAAAAAAGTTTACTTCAAAGCTTTATCTTAAATAGAAAAATTCTTTAGGGATTTAATTAAGATTAAAACACAAAATTATTATTTATGAGAAAAAGCACTTTAAAGTCTGTCTTCTGAGCAAGTTTCGGTATTAGAACAATCTAAAATCATTCATAACTTTTTCAAAAATGTAGATAGAGAGATGATTTTTTTTTCAGTGCATTTGAAATAGTTTGAAGTTTTATTAAAAGCAATAAAAAATTTCGATATTTCGGTCACTTTTTGGNAAGTGTATTATACTTAAGATAAAAAAGTTTACTTCAAAGCTTTATCTTAAATAAAAAAATTCCTTAGGGATTTAATTAAGATTAAAACACAAAATTATTATTTATGAGAAAAAAGTCTGTCTGCTGAGCAAGTTTCGGTATTCGAACAATCTAAAATCATTTATAACTTTTTCAAAAATGTAGATAGAGAGATGATTTTTTTTCAGTGCATTTGAAATAGTTTGAAGTTTTATTAAAAGCAATAAAAAATTTCGATATTTCGGTCACTTTTTAGGTACTGTGACCCCTTAAAGTAAGAAAATAAAAACAAATTATTTTGGAGCAAGAAATAGGCCGATTCTCCCTATCAATTTCTCATTGTCATTTGATTTATTTTAATGATTTTTCAGTTCTTTACTTAATTTAATGATTTTAATACCAACAGCTGAGGCAAGTTTTTAAAATTCTTCATAAATTAGAAAATACTTGTTAATTATAACTGACATAGTCAGTTGGAAAAAGCATTTTATTTAACTTGAACTGGAAATATATAATGTATACCGTTTTCTCACATACTTTCTTTTAAAGAACATATCGTTACGAAATTAAGAGTTATAAAGAAAATAACAATGGATGAAGAATAACTCTACAATACTAAAATGAAAACTAGCTTTACAATAGTTAAAACAAATTTAAAATAAGTTTCCTTCATAATGGCTGACAATTTTTACCGCTTTTAATTCATTGTTTTGCTTTGAATTAAAAATATTTTATTACCAGTGATAAACAATTAAGATATGGAGATGATATGCAATTCTCGAATCAAAATTAAGTTATTCACCTCACCTTAGTATTAAATGAATTGGTATTAAATAGTAGTAAAAATTAGCATAACTAGGTTTCAAGGAGTTTCATTGGAAAAGATTTCCTTTTGAAAATGCTATTTATAATCTTATATTTGGGGTGAAGATAAATTGGTTTTGAAAAGAAGCAATTAGTAGCTTTTCAAGTGAAAGATATTTTAAACCTGAATAGATTCATGGGTTTTAATTCGATTTAAGAGTGATACTGGTTTTTAATTAAAATGTTTCCGTTGAATTAAAATGTATTGCTTTTAAAGAGTTTGTACACTTCTCAATGTCATAAATCTTGAGTAATAATAACATTAAAGGTTACTATTATGGTTACGCTTTTCGTAAGCAATAAAATTTGTTGTAAAAAATGCTGGTAATTCTTGTTTCTAGAAGCTGTTAATACAATCTCATAGATTATTGTCAATTCTATACAAAGAGCGGCATTTGTTTCCATTGAATATAACTATAAGAGAAATATGTTTGTAAGTTTTCTATTTATTCCATGCAAAATTGTTCATTTTTAAAATAGCTGATGTTCTGAAAATGTGCAATTTCTAATAAAAAATAATCACATAATTTCACTTTTTATACACATCCTTAAGTTCATATTTGTAGAAGCGGAAAAATGAACGAAATAATTATTAAATTTCTACTGAATAATAATTGGATTTTGGGCATTCATAAAAATGGTTATGTGACTATTGTTTTGGGAACATCTGCCATTTTCTTACTTTTGCTTCAATGTTTGTACACACAAAAAATTTGTTAATTAACTTAATTAATTAAAAATATTTACAGTGAGCATGAATGCAATTAAAGAAGGAGGATGCTCCAATAAATGCTGCAGTGGTGGCAAATGTGATGCAGATTTTTTTGCTCAGGTAAAACTATCACTTTTTATAATTATCTCTATATTTTTTTATTTCGAATGTTTTTTAGTATTTAATATAACCATTATAATTTATTCCCTAAACAAAGTCCCATTTAAACGATAGATAAAAATAGCATTGATTATTTTTTAATTGATGTAGGGAAGTGGAAAAATGATAAAAGTTGCAAAGTAATATTTAACATTATTATTATTTATTATTATTTGCTCCCTAAACAAAGCCCCATTTAAACGATAGATTAAAATAGTATTGATTATTTTTTAATTGATGTAAGGAAGTGGAAAAATGATAAAAGTTGCAGAGTAATATTTAACATTATTATTATTTATTCCCTAAACAAAGCCCCATTTAAACGATAGATAAAAATAGTATTGACTATTTTTTAATTGATGTGGGGAAGTGGAAAAATGATAAAAGTTGCAATGTAATATTTAACATTATTATTATTTATTATTATTTGTTCCCTAAACAAAGCCCCATTTAAACGATAGATAAAAATAGTATTGATTATTTTTTAATTGATGTAAGGAAGTGGAAAAATGATTAAAGTTGCAGAGTAATATTTAACATTATTATTATTTATTCTCGAAACAAAGCCCCATTTAAACGATAGATAAAAATAGTATTGATTATTTTTTAATTGATGTGGGGAAGTGGAAAAATGATAAAAGTTGCAATGTAATATTTAACATTATTATTATTTATTATTATTTGTTCCCTAAACAAAGCCCCATTTAAACGATAGATAAAAATAGTATTGATTATTTTTTAATTGATGTAAGGAAGTGGAAAAACGATAAAAGTTGCAAAGCAATATTTAACGCATTAAATAATGCATTCCTGCAGCTGCTCGTTGGGATCTAGAGATGTCATGTAGGTTAAGACTTTACAATTTCGTGATACCAACAAAATGATGTTGCCAATGTGGTTATTATTGCGCACCAGCCATCTTTCTTTTCCAGACAAGCTGGAAGATTGCTGCTATCGTGCTACTACCTAGAGAGAAATCTAGAAACTTATAGCGCACCTACATGTAAACAATACTAAAGAGCATTTTAATGTTAGAATGGTACCTTTAAAGAAATGTAACTGTATTGTCCAGACCTCTTCAATCTTGTGTGCTATAACAATCAGAGATCTAATTACTAGTTTCTTTCAGAGTTGTAAGTTTCTTCAGAATTCACAATTTCAATAATAAAAACTTCAATAATAATAATAATTTCAATAATTATAATTTCAATAGTAATAATTTCAATAATATATAATTTCAATAATAATAATTTCAATAATTATAATTTCAATAGTACTAATTTCGATTATAATAATAATAATAATGATAATATTAAAGCTTATGAATTTATGAAATATATATTTGCTATACCTAATTATTTGCTGAAAATTTTTGAATAATTATTAATTAGACACAAATATTTTCATATACTTTAGAAATGTTTAGATTAAAAACGCTCTATCTTGCTTTTGAAGGAACTTAAACGTAAACTATAACTACTAACGAAAGAAATTCACAGTGATGATTTTATTTTTACGTACTCAATCAAAACTTAATCTATTAAGAGTGTACTTACCCCGCACCAACCCCCCACGCCTAGAAAGGGTATTCGGGAAAATTCGGACTCGTCTCCGCAAACTTAATCTATTAAGATTTTTTTTTTAAAAATTCTCATACGATATAAAACTAAGTTTTATTTTTATTACGTTGTTATTAAAAAAGGCATCGTAATACGACACTACTTCAATTGAATACATAAAAGTAGACGTTTTATAAAAAAGCAGAGAACTCTGCAACAAAATTAAGTACCCCAAGAAAAAAGTTTTATGTTTTTTTTTTTTTAAATAATGAAAATTTTTAATTTATTAATCACGCTTAAAGCAAAAGATATTTTCTAGCAAACAAAGAGATTTATGTTTGAATGTTTGATTTTTTAGTGGAATATTTTAGAGATTTATGTAAACGAAATAATTAGAATAAATAAAAAGAAACAACTCAAAAACGAAAAATGTTTTTGGTATTTTATATGTGAGTCAAGAACAAGATATTTAACATTTTCTAATTTTTTTTATTTATTAAAGAACTAAATTAATTAATCTTCAGCAAATATTTTTATTTACCTTTTAAGCCTGGTTTCACTTCTTTACTGTTTTCAAAAGTTTTTAAAGTCTTTTTTTTATACTTACTTAGCTTTCTTGAATTCATCCTGTTTTTTAATAATATAATGGAAACATCTAGTTTAGGCATTTAGTTCCTTTTTATTGAAGTTATACGCCTTGATGCTTCAGTTCTCTCATTTTATGCTTCAGATATCTCATTTTAATAATTTTTATGCGTTTAAATATTTATTTTCTTGTTTAACCGCACTTTCATTATAATTTTATTGAAACAAGAGAAATTTTTAGAGTTTTTAATCTTACTTGCGCTATTAAATGTCTTAGAATTACTTTGAAACCTAAAGACGACAAAAACGGCAGATAAAAGCGTCTATACAATATGTAAAAAAGATATAAAAATTTAAGGTAAAAATACTCTCGACCAGGATGAAAGTATTTTTTACTGTAATACATATCGTAATAATTTATTGTAAGAATTTTAACCACACTTTCCGTAGAAAATGGGCAAATAAGAAACACAAAACTGGTTCCGCATGTATTCTTTTCTTATTAAAATAGTTTAAGTTTAGAGTTTATTCGTCACTCATAATACGAAGTGGATAATTTTCACGAAATTTTCTCCGCTATTGACGAAACCTTTTTCTCGAAAATGAGCCGATTTGTGCAAATAGAGTTTGTTACGATCTTTTCCTCAGTGGAGGATACGAATTGCTTCAAAATCATTAGTCTTAGTGCAACATAGTGTTTAATAAATATAACATAAAATGAAAGAAATATGAATGAATGAGTAATCAGTATTGCTAGAAATTATTATGGAATTTATCTTAATTATTGCTAGTTGATGATACGGAGTTAAGATTTTATTAGTCACTCACAATACGAAATTGACAATGTTCACGAAATTTTCTTCGTTATTGACGAAGCCTTTTTCTCGAAAATGAGCCGATTTGTGCAAATAGAGGATGTTGCGATCTTTTCCTCAGTGAAGGATACGAATTGCGTCAAAATCTAGTGCAACATAGTTGGTTGTTGTCGTATCCTCAATTGAATCATATCTCATGGTGTGCTTGAATAGTCTTTGCTATCTCTTTGGCATTAAGTGAATATAAATCTTCTTCTATAGGGTAGTTTAAGAGGTGAAGGCCTGCTACGACTGCAGGGCAGTTAAAATAATGATATGGTGTGAGTTCCACATTAAGACAGTTGCCAGAGGTTTGACATTTTCTAGTCCCATCTGCAGAAACTCTCATGTTTTTATGATGTTTTGTTCTTAGTCTGATGAGAGTGGTGGCTGTCCTCCCTGTCGATGTCAAGATTAGTTATTTGATCGTGAGCCTTGATTTTTAAGGGGGTGAATAGTCATGACTTTGCAAAAGCATTTGCATCTGCCAGCGTAGTTGGGATTGTATTTTGATTGAGATCTCTGGCATTTTTAGCCAAGAAATCAGCTATTTCATTGAACTCAAGGTTCACATGGGCGGGAATTCACTGCAAGAAGCATTTTTTCTGGCGACGTTGAAGTTGTCCAAGTTGTGTTTAATAAATATAACATAAAATGAAGGAAATATGAATGAATGAGTAATCAGTATTTCTAGAAATTATTAGGGAATTTATTTTAATTATTGCTAGTTGAGGATGCGAAGTTTAGAGTTCATTAGCCACTCACAATACGAAATGGATAATGTTCGCGAAAGTTTCTTTGTTATTGACGAAACATTTCCCTTGAAAATGATCCGATCAAACGTTTTGTCAAATAGGTGATGTTACTATCTTTTCCTTAGTGGAAGATACACATTTCGTCAAAAGCTTTATTCTTTAGAAACACGCATAATTTTATTTGTAAAGGAAAAATATTCACTAATGCACCAAAAATCACTGAAAAATTCACCAATGCACTAAAAGATTAGAAGACACTAATAAAAATATTAGAGAAAAAAATCATTAATTTTTTTAAAATCGCTAAAATGATTCTAACGCACTAAAAATAAATTTTAATTTACATTCTTTTGTTTCAATACGTAGGCGCATTATATATTTTTTAAAACTATCCTGTAATGTTTGAATAAATGTCAATAGCAACTTCAATAGCATCGTAACAAGTGTCTATTTTTACTCTAGCAGTATCTGATTAATTTGAATTTGTTTTTGTTTTACGAATGATTTCGATTTGAAAATGGGAAAGTTATTATTTTCTGTTTCAAGTCTTAAATAAATGACTTTTAATTTGTTCATGAACATAAGTGTTATATTTTTCCTTAAAAACGTATTCACTAAATAAAAATTATTTTTAATTTTTTTTTTCCAGAAATTATTACAAAAAATAAAAAACCAATTTCTTTTTTGATGAGTTCCTAAAAAAACGTTAGTCCCAACACAAAGAAGAAAATTCTCTCAAGTTTTTCGTAAAATTTAACATAAAACACCAATTTCCTCTTTTGTTATCACTTTATTCTGCTACTTTTTTTTCTATCTGTAGTAAACATAAAAATAAACAAATCATTAGGTCCCGAAATGATGTATAGTCCCTGGTGTCAGGGCTAGTCATAACAAAAGAAAAAATCCTTTAGTTTGGCAACTCTTTGATAATAAAAGTAGGGAAAACCATTATATAGGTGGTAAAACTTAATCATTCTTTAGGTGATAAAAATACAACATATTTCTTCATTCTTCTTTCTAACTTGTTATATGGTTGCTCTTTAAGAAAACAAGTAATGTACGATTTATTCTAAAGAAAGAAGCGCATTAAAAATATAATAGCCCTTTAAAATGACTTTTATAACTTAAAAAAGTTTTCTGCATGAAAGAAAACAATACGCGTGATACATTAGAACTGTCGTACATGATATAACACAATAAAAGAAATA